GAATTATCTATCAGAATTCGCTATTCATTAATTCTTCTAATCAGCATTACTCGAAGAAACAGCCAGTCAGACGATTAACATGATAATCATTTGAATTGATAATCATGATATTTAATGATGTCATCGATCATCGCTAGATTAACAATTAAAAATATATAAATAAATTCTTTTATAACATGATATATAAGATAATTATGCAATTAATCGAATATTAAAATTTATAATATCCGCGATTACGAATGGAATGGGAAACGGATTTTTCCATCACGAATCAAATGCAAAAGATTTATGTAACAAGAACGTTATAATAGGATAGGAACTTCGTTGAAATCAGAATATTAATTAACTCCTTACATCAAACGCTTATTCTTTTTTTTTTTTTTTTGAATTAACTTGTAATTAAAATCTTTGCAATATATATTCTAAAAATATTCCTTTGCAGATAATGATGGTTCTCTGCGCGAATTCTTCGATTCTGGGTCCATCCATGGCTTTTGGTTATAGCGCAGTGGCATTGGAGCCGATGATGGCACCTAGTAGCGACGTGAAAATCGACAAAGTTCAAGCAAATTGGATTGGTTGGTATCATTTCTATTTTTTCTTGATCTCGATTGATATTAACCCTTAACAAGATGATATTTAACAAGATGAGAATTAAAAGAAAAAAAATTTACATCTATATGCCGTAAATTTTCTTAGAATAAATTTAATTCAATACGTTTGAAATTAAAAAAATATAATCGTTGGAAATCCACAGCCACAGCTACAGCACTGGGCATCCCACTCGGTTGCATTGTCTCTAGTTACACTATGAGACGGGGAAGAAAGTTGAGCCTGTTGATAACGTCGATCGTGTCCATCGTTGGATGGCTATTCATTTATCTCGCTGGAATGTACGAGCAGATTCTTGTGGGCAGAATTATTTCCGGAATCGCGACCGGAATGGCCTCGGTCCCAGCCACCGTTTATAGCGCGGAGATTGCTTCTCCAAAATGGCGATCGACCATGGTCACGTGGACCAGCGTAACCATCGCTATTGGCGTTTTGATCGTTTACATTTTTGGCTACGCGTTGAAGGTAAATATATACACGTATCTCTTTCGAACAAATCTCTTTCATTTCACTAATTTCGTAAAACATAATTTTGTAAAATATATGTACATATTATTACCGAAGAATTACAACGATGAATTTGATAAATTGAAAAGTCAGGAAGCGGAAAGTTATTCGATTCACGGATCTTTCTTTTCTAAAGGACAACTGGCGTACGGTGGCACTGCTGTGCGCCCTGTTTCCCCTGGTCTCGGCCGCACTGACCTTGGCCATCGTCCCAGAAACCCCGATCTGGTTGCGAGACAGAGGTCGTCTAGACGAGGCGTTACAGGTGTTGAAGAAATTCCGCGGTGTCCCCAACGATGCGCCGCCCCCGCAACAATTACACCAAGAGTTGAGGCCTCGTCCCCAACGAGCGAATCAAAACTTCGCGAAACATTTGCTGAAGAGGAACGCCGTTCTACCATTCGCTATTATGCTCGGCTACTTCTTCTTCCAACAATTCTCCGGAATTTTCGTCGTTGTCTATTACGCCGTGAATATAGTAGAGAGCGCTGGTATCGCCATAGATCCGAATTTGGGAGCGGTGTTGATAGGATTGACCAGGTTGTTCGGTAGCGTGTTGGTGGCGTGCGCGTCGGGAAAATTCGGTAGAAGGAAACCGTCGATCGTTTCCGGATGCTCGATGACCATTTTCATGGGGATTTTGTCCGTCTATTTATGGATCAAGGATAGGGGATATCGCGTGAACGACAACGGGTTGATTCCAGCGATATGCGTACTTATGTATATTTTTGGCAGTACGCTTGGCTTCTTGGTTATCCCATTCGCCATGGTGGGCGAGGTGTATCCTACGAAGGTGAAGGAAGTGTTGACGGGACTGTCTTCGTGTATCAATTATATTTTTAGCTCGATCACGGTGAAAATTTATCCGGACATGGAGGCTAATATGGGTAGACAAGGTGTGTTTACATTTTTCACCGTGATGTCGTTGTTGGGAATGTTGTTCGTTATTTTTTTCCTGCCTGAGACGAAGGGGAAGACGTTAAGAGAAATCGAGGACATGTTTTCGAAGAAGAAGAAGAAAAAGAAAAAGGGGGAGGAGGAAATTGTTAATTGGGGAGAAGAGAAAGAAAAAATGATAGATCTCAAAAATTCTGTATCCGAAGAGACTTAGTTTCGTCGTTCTTTTCGAGATAGAAGATATCAATGCAAAGGAAATAATTCTAATTTTTTTTAACAAGCTTTTAATAATTTTTTTTTTTAGAATTTAGTAAAGAATTCGATTGCGAAATTTTTTCGAATCCTTAATTAAATCATTCCATGAAAATTTAACCATAATATTACGTTAAATACGTTACAATGTATCTACCACTATGTGTTCATTTTTCATTTTAATTTAAGAAATTCTTTTGATTAATGATAATGTTACATCGAATATTTTTATACCGTCGATAATACACGATTATAATATGTAACTTCACTTCTATATTCGAATATAAATAATATAGGAGGAACATTAATCTCATTAATCTCATTTGAGAATAATTACAATTTATTACGCATTTTAATCCTTTTGTTTTATATTATATAGTTTGAACCTATTGCAAAGTGTTGCAATCGCAACGTTGTTATCATATTGTTACTTGGTACAGTTTCTAAATGGAACTGTATAAATAAATTGTATGTGATAACGACGCAAATGAACGATAAGAAATGTCAAGGCTGTTTGTTACGGTCATTATTTTTCGATTGATGCACGACATATATATATATTATATATATTATATTTTTATATTGAGTGAATTTTTCAAGACAGAAAAAAAATAAAATAAAATAAAAATGATTCAAAAAGAAATGACAAAGAAAGAATAATCTTATTTGTCGTTTTTTATTATTAAAATCTTAAATAATAAATTAACAAATGTCGTAACAATCACGATAATTAAATAACAAAACATAAAATAACGTACGGACATGGAAGCGCGAAATGTGGGGGTGATTGAGATTTGTGATGACAAAAAAGAGGGGGCACGAGATGAAAACTCTAATTACTAATAATAGTGATGATAATAGTAGCAAGCGCGAAAAAAATTATATAATAATAATAATAATAACAATAACAATAATAATAATAATAATAATAATAATAATAATAATA